CTGACACCAACTGTGTTGGGGGTTTCCAAGACCATCTCTAGGTACAGTGATTTGCTAGGAGGACTCACAGGACTCAACGCATAATCATTATCATGATATTATAGCAAAATGATAAAAACAAAAATCAGTAAAAGGAAAAGGCACATGAGGCAAAGTTTGGAAGAAACCAGGTACAAGCATCCAAGAGTCCTCTCTCAGTGGAGTCAAACAGAATATGCTTAATTACTCCAGCAGTGAATTGTGACAACACATGTGACATGTTGTCTACCAGGGAAACTCATTAGAGACTCAGGTTTTTACTGGTGGCTGGTTGTATAGACACACTGTGCCTATCATGTACCAAAAATCCACACTCCCAGAAGGAAAGCAGTTGTTCAGCATAAACCACATTGTTTGTACAGTGGGCACAGAGAGCCATCCTTAGTTCTGGGAATTGTGGGAACCCTGTCAAGTTCCAAGATACCAGCCAAGGGCCAACCTTGTAAGCAGGGCTTTCCAAGGATAGAAGTCTAAGCCCTGCTGTGTTAACTCCTTTCCCCATACCATGTAGGAGTCAGTGTATAGTAAGTTTAGAAATGCTTGAGATCTCACCCCCTGGAAAGCTGAAGAGGACAAGGCTCTAGCTCAAGCCTTTGTCTCTTTTTGTGCTATCTGTGTAACTCTGTTCAGATCATTCCAAATTTTGTATCAGCCCAATAGTTTTTCTCCCTTCTGTTGCAAGAGAGGCCAACCATAGAGCTGCACAGTCAGGCGATTTTTTAAATCTCTTTCAGGCTTTAGTATCGACCTGTTAACTTTTAGTCATACTTATGCCAATTTTTCTAGGCTTTTCTGAGCCTGGCCTCTTTCTCCTTCCTTTAAGTAGAGTGCTGTAGCCACCTACTTACAACCTTATTGCTCTGGATTTTTCTTTTATAGCAAATCTACTGTTCTAGGATTTCTAAGAAACCTTCCCATTTCTCGTCTTCAGTGGTCTATGGGCTATGTAGCTATCCCCCCACGTGGAGATTATTTTATCCCATATCTCTGAGCCACCTGGTCTCTAGCCATTCTAGTTTGGCCAAGTAATTTGCCCTCTCAGCTTTTGTGACTATAAACAATATGGCCACTGAGATATTGGCCATTCCAACTCAGTAGTTTTTCTGGTGTAAAGCTTCCAGTGGGTTTATTTACCACCTCAGTGGTGGCCCAATCAAACTATTTCTGTTTTCAAAAGCTATGGTATCTGTACGAGTCACATACAACTAGTTACAAATGGCAATATTTTCTGAGAAAAACTTATAGGCAGAGTAGCAGCAGAACACATGTAATATTCCAAGCTCTCATCTTGCACAGTGAACGTTTGGGCTAGAGACAGCTCAATAGATGATGGAAAGTGCTCTAGGGGAAGGAGCCTGTCATATACTAGTTTGTATATCTATAGAGCAGTGGGGAGGGGTGCAGGAAAAATAGTTATTCTGGAACTATGAAACTCCCTGATGAGGGGAAAATAGATGTATTGGAAAAAGAGCATGTGGAGGGAGTTTGCTTTCCAGTATTTCAGGTATCAGTGAAAGATTTTGTTTGAAAGTCTCTGCCTAGCTACAGAGCAGGGAAATGATATCCACTGAGGCCATTCAGGAGAAAACATGTTTATCATCCTCATTAACCAATAATTTTGTTTTTCTACTGTTAGAATAGTTTTCCTTTTGTTCCATATAATTTCCATATAGTTTAAATCCTATTTCTAATTATTTCAGTAATAACAATAGCTGTTATTTGTAACTAGTCAATGTTGTCAGTGTAAGATTTATTTACACATTTAAAAACTATTTCTAAGTAGTCCACTAGCCTTATTTTTACTAGCTGAAATAATTCCAAATATTTTAACATTTCATTTGTTCAGGGTCTTTTGTTTTTTTTTCCTGAGGAAGATTTGCCCCGAACATCCATTGCCAACATTCTTCTTTTTGTATGTGGGCTACAACCACAGCATGGCCTCTGGCAGAGAGTGGTATAGGTCTGCGCCCAGGAACTGAACTTGGGCTACTGAAGTGGAGCATGCGAAACTTAACCACTAAGCCACTGGGGCCAGCTCTCATTTTTCCAGGCTCTTAATCATCTTGTTTTTTACTGAAACTTTTCAAATTTTTTGAGTTTCTTTTTAATTGAGGAGCCTAAAACTGGTCAGTATGAAGAATTTGACCAGTGATAATTATAGTTTTCAAAACTATCAAAATATTTATGATAGGTTTTTGCTTTTATTTTTGCATTATCTATATTGAAAATTTTCTGTAAAATTAATTTTTAGAATCATTTTAGATTGTACTATATTGCACACTTTGAATTCTAGACCTTTTTGTTTTCTTGTATATATAAATGCATTCCACATCTTATATTATTGTAGATATTGTATTGTATTGTATTATATTATATTATTGTAGATAAGAATATCAAATCCATTCTCCTCTATATTTTCATTGATAATTAAAATTTCAGTATGTACATCAATACTTGCAAGAGACTTTTTTTTTTTCCTAAGGGGGAAGGGGAATGGATTAGGCATTGTGTTGAGAGTTTAGAAAATGGATGGAGTTCATAAGGAAAGCTCCTGCAAAAGAAGATCTTGGAACAGAAAAACAACAGGACAGGTTGGACAGTAATCCAAAAGCAATCTTCCGTTTTGCCTGAGTGACAGTGTATTAAGAGGGATTATGAGGTGTCTGTGGTGATATGTGTAACAGATTATGGTCTTGTACGTCTATTTGCAAACAGAAGAAGATTTATTCTTTATACCACTTCAGTGCTGTTGAAGACTGTCATTGGAATGCTGTCAGCATGCTTATATCAAAGCTGTTAAAATACACACTCATAATTATACTATATACTATGTTGTAGCGTTTTAACATGGAGGGGTGGCTAGAAAGAATCTAACATGGACAACGAATTTAGCAAGACATAAATATGTTTAGGTTGTTCATCATTTACCAAAGAATGGGAATAGGGCAAGCCATTTGCTTTATTGTTATTTTCTGTGTGAATTTAGGATGCCTTCCATAGCCTTTCCATCGTCTTTCTCCCTCCTCCTTCTAACCCTCCTCCTCATGTTCTTCTTTTCTTTTATCATCCAAACAAACAGCAGGGCTTGGAAGTATACTATCCCACTTCTTAGAGATATCACTTTGGCTAAGGTGAGCTTGAATACAGTACTGCTTGCATACCTTTCGAATATTTTTCTTTATTATCCCCCCTCAGCAGAAGTATCACCGTGTTATACAATGGTCATTTATGATTGTGGGAGATAATAGAAGTGGGATTGCTTGAGTGTGGGAGTATGGTTACAAATTAACTTTGTATTAGTATTTAAGGAACTGTTCTTGAGATTGCCACACATTTTCTCTATTGTTATAATTTAGGATCATTTGCCTGTGTAGAATCAAGTGGTTAATGATATCCCCTAATAAACATTTCAAAATCTTTAGAAGTATTTTGCTTTCTACTTGTAGCTCTGTGGTAATATTAGTGGCAGGAGTGATGATTTGTGTGTGGTTGTAGGTATGATTGTAAAAAACCATCAATTTATATCATGCGCTTAACCTATTTTTATGCTTCAATGGCCTAATGACAACAATCCTCTAGGATATGTCTTCAAAAATGGTCTCCAGAAGAGTGTTAGACTATTTCGTAACTAGTCATCTTAAATTCAAATACCTAAGAAAACTATTAAATCATGTTTGAGGATGAGATGCCATTCTTAATTTAGCACAGGCTATTAATTCACAGGCACCTATTCTCTTTAATATTGGAACCCATTTTATAAGGCCACTACAAAAGTTTTTTGTCATAAGTTATGTCTTTTTTTTTTTGGTGAGGAAGAATGACCCTGATCTAACATCTGTTGCCAATCTTCCTATTTTCGCTTGAGGAAGATTGTCCCTGAGCTAACATCTGTGCCAATCCAGCTCTGTGCCAGTCCTCCTCTATTTTATATGTGGGATGCCTCCACAGCATGGTTTGATGAGTGGTGTGTAGGTCTGTGCCCAGGCTCAGAACCCACGTATGCCAGGCTGCCAAAGCAGAGCATGCAAACAACCACTAAGCCACCAGGTCAGCCCCAGTTACATGTCTTTTTAGCCATCAACTATCTTACACTTTTATTCTCAGAATTGACCTCCCTCCCATCCCCATTTTTTTAATAGTCCAAAGTCTGGTGTTTGAAATTCATCCTAAACTAACAAATGCAGGATTGGTGGCAATGGTTACATTTTAAAATTTTGCATCTGTGAGACAAAAATTCAAATTATTTTATATACTTTGCAATGAGCCTTGGGCAAATTATATTAACTTGAGTAATAGTTGTTTAAAATGAAGAACCATCAAACTCTGTTGCATTTGATAGGCCTAGGAGAGCTTTGTTAAATTCTACAGAAGATGGGTAGTTTGACCATTAGATTGTCTAAACTGGAATGCTAGGACAACAAGCATAAACTGAGACTATGCAGGCAACCGTGACATATGATTACCTCAGTTCTGGAACCCTGAAAGCTGACCCTTTGCCAATTGGTGGAGAATAAATACCTCTTACCCTGAGGAAAAGTAACTCAGAGCTTGGGAATTGATTCTAGTGGAAGACAGTGATTTTTAATGTCAAAACGTCTATAAAGAGATTTTAATTTTCATTCTGAAATGAAATTGTGAAAAAATAACTTTGGGATAAATGTGACTAAAGGGCAACCTCCAAACCATCTTGCGCTCTACTTTGGCCGAGAAGACTTTCTTGTTCTGTGGCTGGTTATGACCTTGAATAACTCGTATGTTAAGTATTTCAAATGTTACTTAATTCTGTGTATATTATCTTCAACTTGTTATGTAGCATCAATTTCATATTTGTGTCACCATTAATTAATGAATAATTATAATTGTTTATTTAATATTCTTGTAGATTATGAAAATCATTCTTCAGTTACAAATAAAAAATGTTCTTCACATAATCTAATACCAGATATTTTGTAATTCTAAAGCTCAGAGAAGAAAAGGGCTAGCCCTGCTATTTCAGATCTTTCACAGATCCTCAAATCTCAAGATGGATCAGCTTTTTCAAAGAATGCCAATGAAGTTTTTGCTGATGAAGACCCATCCCATATACTTTCATCAAAGACCCATGATAAATCATTTGCAAGAGTATTATCAAGCAGCGAAACTCAAGATTCACTGCCTTCCAGAACATCAATCAAAGAAATTCAAAATTCACCTTCTGCCAGAACATTGCTTCAAGGGAGTGAAACAGTGACAGCACCGTTTATTTCACCCACTGTTGTTATTAAAAGAAAGCCAATGGGTAGTGATATCTCAAAGGTAATATATAGAACAATAACATAAAGCTATTTACTTTAAATTGCTAGACTCCTTCAATATTTTGAATAATTTTAATTAAAAATTCATCAACATTGTCTTATTTAAAGGGAGTAAAAAGTTTGCATTTTAATACCTGTTTTTATTTAGGATGTTTAAAGTAGTATTTGGGAATCAAAGTAATATTTTAACATAAAAAAATTTTCATCTATATCGACAAAGAAGCTGTGGCTTAGATTAGAGTTTTAATGATAAATTAAAAGATACACAATTCCAACTGAGACAGGGAAATTTTCATTTCATGTTCATCTACAAAAAATATTTTTATACAATAAGGTACTTATGAAAGCATAGCCATTTTGAAATAATTTTGTTTAAACAAGATCTTGAAAATTATCAGAATTGCTTTTGTTAAAATGGTATTTAATTAGGAAATTCTTAGGGCAAAAATGCTAGGAAAAAGGGAAATGATAAAAAGGCTACATAGTTGACATATATTCACAATATATAGAAGTTGTTAAAGTAGCCTTATAAAAGTGATTTTGTAAGCCATTTGAATTTGTCTAGAGATTGAATCAGACTAAAATATAAATCTAAACTAGAATCATAATGAATAATTCTTAACATGATTTATTTGGAATTATTTGTGAGGGAGAATTACAATATTGCTTGAGTTCCCTCCACACTATTAAGTGTTACCAAATGCCTCTCAAATCCATTAATTGTTCTGATTTTTTTTATAAACGCAGGAAATAATGAAAAGTAAAATGTTTCTGCAATGACATTGTAGATATGAATAAAAAATTGTTCTCTCCCTAAAAGAAGGTAGAGTTCCATGATATATAGTTTGTAATTACTTATTATAATTTTGTTATTAAGGCTGATGTTTTAGAAGAGAAATTACAAAGTAATATTGAAAAGCAAACTTCCCAAGAAGCAACAGAATTTCAAGGTAAAAATGTTTTCTGTTTCGTAAAATAAAAATGTAAATGATTGTGTGTTCCTGTGGTGTAATTATAAATAACTGAAGAGAGAACATTATTATAGAAATAATTCCTTAGACAGTCATCAGATAATATAGAAATATATTGACCAATATGTAAAAATTAATTTGGTGAGTTAATATTATATTACGTAGGGAGTCTATTTCAACTAAGATCTGTGTAAAAAGGGAAGTGATAGCTTTGCCTTGACCAAGTAACAGTGTTTGGCGTTATGAATTCTTAGCATAATATTATACCAAAAATTCATCAAGATATGTCAGGAAAAAATATGTTTTGTGATATAAATAATATTTTAGCTAGATTCTTTAGGTGTTTGATGTATGTTTTAAAATGATGATGAATTTGTTCTTCATTTCCAATGTAGATAGCTTTTATAACCAACCGTATCTTATTGCATTGGGCTGAACTTTCAAAATAAAATTAAATGGTTGTGATATAGAGTGCAGGAGCATCACTCTTCTATTGTGCTTTGAAAGGAGAGTGCACAAACTGTTTCACCTATGATGATTGGTTGTCTGAGATAGATATTCCTTATTAAGGCCAGGACATTTTCTGTTGTTCAAACTTTATTATGAATTTTTAACGAGCACTTGAGCTGAATTTAATCAACTGACTAAAAAAATTTTTTATTGTGGTAAAATATATATATAACATAAAATTTGCCATTTTAATAACCTTTAAGTGTACAATTCAGTGGCGTTCATTACATTCACAATGTTGTACATCTATTTCTACAACATTTCATCATCCCCAAAAGAAACTCATTAAACAAATGACTCCCATTTCTGCCTTCATCCAGCCACTGGTAACCTCTAATTTACTTTCTGTCTCTATGAATTTGCCTATTGTATTTCATAGATATGAAATCATACAATATTTATCCTTTTATGTCTGGCTTATTTCACTTAGCATAGTGTTTTCAAAGTTCATCCACATTGTAGCATGTATCAGAATTTCATTCCTTTTAATGGCTGGATAATATTTCATTACATGTGTATACCACATTTTGTTTATCCATTCATCTGCTAAAGGACATTTGGGTTGTTTCCACCTTTTGGCTGTTGTAAATAATGCTACAATGAACATGGTGTTCATATCTGTTTAAATCATATCATGTCTGTTTAAATACCTGTTGTCAGTTGTTTTGGGCAGGAGTGTAATTGCTGGATCATATGATAATTCTAAGTTTATCTTTTTTCAGGAACTGCCCAACTGTTTTCCACAGTTGGCTGCATCATTTTATATTCCTACCAGCAATGTACAAGGTTACACATCCTTGCCAACACCTGTTTTCATTTTCTAAAAAATTATGGTCATTCTAGTAGGTATGAACTATAGTGCCTTGTAATTTAGATTTGCATTTCCCTATTTGCTAAAGATGTTAAGCATCATTTTGTGTACTTATTGGTCATCTGTATATCTTCTTTTTGAAAAAATATATATTCAATTCCTTTACCCATTTTTTAATTGGGATGTTTGTCCTTTTATTGCTGAGTTGTAGAGGCTATTCTGGATATTCTTGATATTACAGCTTTATCAGATAAATGGTTTAAAAATATTTTCTCTCATTCTATAGGTTGTATTTTCACTTTCTTGATAATGTCCTTTGATGCATAAGGTTTTTAATTTTATGAAGCCCAATTTATTTATTTCTTCTTTTGTTGCTTGTGCTTTTGGTGTTATATCTGAGAATCCATTGCCAAATCCAAGGTAACAGAGATTTACCCTTATGTTTCCTTTTAAGAGCTTTATGGTTTTAGCTCTTATATTTAGGTGATTGATCTGCTTTGAGTTAATTTTTGTATGTGGTGTGAGGTAGGGCTATAACTTCATTCTTTTGCTTGTGGAAAGTGAGTTATCCTCACACCATTTGTTGAAGAGCCTCTTCTTTTCCCACTGCATTGTATTGGTCAAAAATCAGTTGACCATATGTATGGGTTTATTTCTTTGCTCTCAGTTGTATTCCATTGGTATATATGTCTATGCATATGTCAATATGACACTGTTGGGATTTACTGTAACTTTGTAGAAAGTTTTGAAATGGGGAAGTATGAGATCTCAAACTTTGTTCTTTTCAATATTTCTTTGCTATTTGAGACCCCTTGCAATTACATATGAATTTTAGGATCAACTTTTTCCATTTTTGCAAATAGGCCTTTGGGATTTTGATAGAGAATGCACTGAATCTGTAGATTGCCTTGAGAAGTATTGCCATCTTAACAATAATAAGTCTTCCAGTCTCTGAACCCAGGATGCCTTTCCATTTATTTAGGCCTTATTTAGTTTATTTTAACAATGTTTGATAGTTTCCAGTGTACAATTATTGTAACTCCTTGGTCAATATTATTCTTAAGTATTTTATTCTTTCTGATGCTGTTGTAAGTAGAAATTTTTCTTAATTTCATTTTCAAATTACCCATTGCTGGTGTTTAGGAATGCAACTAATTTTTCATGCTGATCTTGTATCCTGAAACTTTACTGAATTTATTAACTTTAATATTTCTGTGTGAGATCTTTGGGATTTTCTGTAGTATACAGGATCATGTCATCTGTGAATAGAGATACTTTACTTCTTCCTTTCCAAATTGGATACCTTTTATTTCTTTTTATTTTCTAATTTCTCTGGTACAGTGTTGAATAGGAGTGGTAAAAGTGGGCATCTTTGTCTTGTTCCTGAAATTTGGGGAAAGCTTTCACTCTTTCACCATTGAATGAGATGTTAGCTGTGGGTCCACAAATGCCATTTATCATGTTGAACAAGTTCCCTTCTGTTCCTAGTGTTCTGAGAGTTTTTTCTTTCTTTTCTTTTCTTTGTTTGATGAGGAAGATTAGCCCTGAGCTAACATCTGTGCCAATCTTCCCCCATTTTACATGTGAGATGCCACCACAGCAAGGCCTGATGAGCGGTGTGTAGGTCCACACCTGGGATCTGAACCCACGAACCCTGGGCAGCCAAAGTGAAGAACATGAACTTAACCACTATGCCTCCGGGCCGGCCCCAAGTTTTTTTTTCCTCATGAAAGGGTGTCAGATTTTGTCAAATGTGTTTTCTGTACCAATTGAGATGGTTATGTAGCTTTTCATTTTTGCTCTATTAATGTAGCATATTACATTGATTTTCTTACGTTGAAGCACATTTGAATTCCTAGGATAAATCTCATCTGGTCTTGGTATATAATCCATTTGATATGTTGTTGGATTTGATTTTCTAGTATTTTGAAGATTCTTGCATCTATATTCATAAGGGATATTCGTCTGTAATTTTCATTTTTTATAATATCTTTATCTGGCTTTGATATCAGGATAATGTTGGCCTTAGGAAGTTTTTCCTACTATTTTATCTTTTGGAAGAATTTGAGAAGAATTGGCATTAGTTCTTTTTTAAATCTTTGGTGGAATTTACCAGTGAAGCGGTCTGGTCCTGGACTTTCCTTTGTTAGGAGTTTTTTGATTACTGATTCAATCTCCTTACTAGGTATAAGTCTGTTCAGATTTTCTCTGTCTTCATAATGGTAGGTTTGCATTTCTAGGATTTTGTCTATTTCATCTGGGTTATCCAATATTTTGGTGTACAGTTATTCATAGTATTCTCTTACAATCCTTTTTATTTTGCAAAATCAACAGTAATGTTCCATCTTTCATTTCCTCTTTTAGTTATTTGAGTTTTCTTTTTTCTTAGCTAATCTAGCTAAATGATTGTCAATTTTATATTTTAAAAGAGCCTACTCTTGGTTTCATTGATTTTCTCTACTGTTTTTCTAGTCTCTATTTCATTTATCTCTAATCTTTATTATTTTCTTCCTTCTGCTAGATTTGGGTTTAGTTTGTTCTTCTTTTTCTAGTTCCTTACAGCGTAAAGTTAAGTTGTTGATTTCAGATTTTTCTTCTTTTTTAATGTAAGTGTTGACAGCTATAGATTTTCCTTTTAGCATTGATTTTATGGTACCTCATAAGTTTTAGTATGTTGCATTTTCATTTGTCAAGATGTTTTCTAATTTCCCTTGTGATTTTTTGTTTGACTTTTTGACTATTTAAGAGGGTGTTGTTTAAATTCCACATACTTGTGGATTTTTCAGTTTTCCTTCTGATATTAATTTCTAGTTTGCTTCCATTAAGACTTGTTTTGTGGCCTAATATATAGTCTATCTGGGAGTATGTTCCACATGCACTAGAGGTCCAACAGAACCCACTAGGGGTTCTGTTTCTTTTGTGTGCATATGTTTATAGTTGTTATATATTCTTGATGAGTGACTCTTTTATCAGTATATAATGTCACTTTTTGTCTCTTGCAATAGTTTTTGACTTAAAGTCCGTCTTGTTTGATATTAGTAAAGCCACCTGTATTAGGATTCTTGAGATAAAACGGAGCAAATAGGATATATTTATTTATAGATAGATAGATAGAGATAGATATAAAGAGGAGAGTCATTGTAAGAATTGACTCATGCAGTTATGGAGGCTGAGAATTCCCATGACTTGCCATCTGCAAGCTGGAGAACCAGGAAAGCCAGTGGTATAATTCAGTCTGAGTCCAAAGGCCTGAGAATTGGGGGGCTGATGGTATAAGTTTTAGTCTGAGTCTGAACTCCCTACAACCAGGAGTGCCAATGCCAAGAGGAGGAAAAGGTGGATGTCTCAGTTCAAGCAGAGAGAGAAAATTCACCCTCCCTCTGTCTTTTTATTCTGTTCAGGCTCTCAGTGGATGGAGGATGCCCACTCACATTGATGAGTGACATTTTTTACTCAGTCTACTTATTCAAATGCTAATCTCTTCTGGAGACACCCTCACAGACCCACCTAGAATGTTTTACCAGTTATCTGGGTATCCGTTAGCCAAGTCAAGCTGACACATAAAATTAACCATCACACTTTTTGCTTACTGTTTACATAGAATATCTTTTCTCATCCCTTCACTTTCAATTTATTTATGTCTTTTCAATTAAAATGA